CTCTTAAAACCCTGCCTCAGCCCCCACCTTAGGTTCTGCCTTCGCAGTTCACCCAGATTAGGTTCTGACTGGTTGGCTCCTATGGCAGTCAGCGTCAAAAGCTCTGCCTCCTAGGCAGCCATTGGCTCCTCAGAGTTCACCTAGACTTGGTTCTGTCCGTTCGGTTTCTATGCCAGTCAGCATCAAAAGCTCTGCCTTCTAGGCAGCCATTGGCTCTTCTGGGAAATCCTCTGCAGTGGCTGCAGAGCAGGCCCTGCCTCTCTCTCTCTCTGAGCCTCACCAGCAGCCACAACAGCTGCTGATCAGGCCCTGCCTCTCTCTCCGAGCCTCTATCTGGGCCTGATCCACAGCTGCGATGCCTTCCTCACCCCGCTCACCCCCCGACCGCCCTGCCCACCTGCCCGCCTGCTGCCAGCCTTGCTGTGATAGGAGCCTATGGGCTGCGGGGGAGGGACCGAGAGGTGCTCCATACACTTCCTGGTGACTGGTCGTCCGTCTGGTCTTTTAGGTCGTGACAGCCCTAGGCTATTATTAGTATACATTCTATTTCCTGTACAATTGAATCTTTTCATAGTAAAAGATGAAATAAAAAAATTAGAAAAAATAGAACTTCCAGCATTCTTTTCCCACACTCCAGTGAGCTGTCTTGCATATTCTTTTTTGTCTTGCACATTCTTGTATGTCTCTATGTACTTCACTTTGGGGATCACTACAAATTAGAATGGTGGACTCACTTTAATGAGAAAAAAGAATCAACCATCACTGACCACTAAAAACTACTTCAAATAGTAATAGTAGATGATCAGTTATAGACTATGGTTTTGTGCACCATAATTCCCTTTTTTTTCTGATTTTAAGTGGTCTAAAGGATCCTTCTGAGCCTAAAAATGTCCCTGGCTTCAAATTAGCACACTGCCATTAAATCCTAAGTCATTATTTCCAAACTAACCATGGCACAAGGCACTCCAGACTCAGAGAAGGAACTTCCAAGTCATCCTGATCACAGGATGGTTCCTAAACGCACCCGACTGTTCAAGGGGCCATGCCAGGCCTTCCTGCTGTGCATACACATAAACATCTCCTTTAAGTGGGGCCACTGTTACCTTCTCTGCCTCTGTGCTAAGTAACTGCTGACAGAGGCCAACAATTAGAGAAGATTCCTGAGAATCAGTGATGGATTAAGTAGAGATGCCTCAAAAAACACAAAAGAACAGAAAAACCCAGAACTTGGATTACAGATAAAAAATAGGAACTATAGTCCTAGCTGGTTTGGCTCAGTGGCTAGAGCATCGGCCTGCAGACTGAAGGGTCCCGGGTTCGATTCCAGTCAAGGGCACATGCCTGGTTTATGGGCTCAATCCCCAGCAGAGGGCATGCAGGAGGCAGCTGATCAATGATTCTCTCTTATCATTGATATTTCTATCTCCCTCTCAATAAAAATATATTTTTTAAAATAGGAGCTATAAAAGCAAAAGGCAAGTAGACTTAAGAAAAACAAAGCAATTAACTCAGTAGATGCTGGAGAGCCAAGATAAATATCAAAGAACCAAAAGAGCTATGATTAATTTTTTACAATACCAAGTACCTACATGTGTAAAACCTTGGATAAGGCCTTGGTGTGTGGCATGTAAAGAAGAAATGGGTATGGAACCTCACTCAGGATTTCACGACACTAAGATCACATTTATTTTCCCTATTTCAGGTCTCAACTGAAAGATCACCACTCCTGCCCCAGTCTTAACTGGGTGCTGCTCCTGTGTCCCCACAGCACCCTGTACGTTCTACTCCCACAAGCTTTCTCACCAGATGTAATCATTGTTTAGTCCCTCATTTGACAGTAAGCTCCTTGAAGGCAGGGACGGTGCCAGGTCCCTTTTTGTATATTTGGCATTTGATATCTGACACCTTAAAACCACTAAATACTCATGGAAGAAAGAAAAGGAAAGAAGAAAAATGAAGGAAGGAAAGAAAGAGAAAAAGGAAGAAGGAAAGAAATCAAAGACATCTACTAGAAATGAAATGCTACATATAATATGGAAGCAGATAAGTTTAAAAATCCAAATTAAAGTCTCTCAAGTCTTAGAGGTTCCTAAATCCCATCCCAGTGTCAAGGTCAATGCCCACTACAGTTCAGCACCTAGAAAAATGAAACTGGAATAGGAGAAATGTGTATACACACACACACACACACACACACACACACACACACACAGAAGGTAAGAGAAAACTTACAAGTTTTGGCCTGAAAAAGGACCACAGACATCTCTGGGTTCTAGGGAGAGAACAGCTTAGAATATGTAAAGACTAGAACTGAGTACTTCCAGAAGGGCAACCAAAATTGTGACACCTGCGAGTCATCTCCAAAGCCGCATACAGGTGACCTCCCATCTAGTCCGCGTAACTTCATATATAATGTATGAATCCTAACAAATTCTCACACGGTGCTTTTTATGGGAGTGGAGATGACAGCTAAAAGTGTTCGGCTTCCAACAATTTAAATTAAGAAAGTATACAAGCAGTTCGAGGAAGGCTATGTTTATGAGATGGTAGAAAGTCCTAGACTGAGTTTCAGGCATTCAGGTGAGGTCATGGTGGGGCTGGAAATTCAAGAGGGACTATCCCTTTAATACAACAATCACTAGTATACTGACAAAATCCACAAAAACAATGACCATTCGAGCAAGTGATTTCCATATCTATAAGTGGTTTTACCCTTCAATTATGAATGTGACCAATTCAAAGTACAATCAGAGATGCTAAAAGAGACACAGCCATAGTCTCACCTGCTGATTCTGCATCACTTTGGCTAGCCTGTGAGTGTCATAATGCTTTGGTAGAGTAGGGATATAGGTGTCTCCTTTTTGAAAATTCTCATCTTCTAGCCATAGTATATATACGTTGAAGAGCCTAAAAGAACATAATTATATAAAATATAAAAAGATGTGCACACAGATGAAGTTTCTTACATCTCTAGAAACAATGGCACCACAACATAAAAGTAAAGAAAGCACATGATACAGAAAATGTTCCCAACAACCATCACTCTCCCATAAAGCTCATGAGCCAGCTGGGGAGAAACAGGTTACAGACAAATAAAATATAATGCAATAATTGCTAAAAGACAAGGTGTGAAGAAAGGACTCTGGGAATTCCATTATTAAATACAGTAAACAGAAAAAAACCTGGAGAGGTGATTTTATCACAAACCTAGGAATGAATTTGGAGCTGCTCTTTCCCGAGCAACCCAGTCAATGAGCCTTAGTGCTTTGAAAAGTTTAAACAACATCCAAATACATACACCTCCTGTCTTCCTGAGAAACAGTAAAAGCCATTTTCAACTTACGCACTGGCAGCACCTGCCAGCAGTAGGCTCAATGGCATCTCCTGCCACAGGAGTCACAGATAGAACCCACAGCATGTGTGATCCTACCTAGACCAGTGATGGCGAACCTTTTGAGCTCGGCGTGTCAGCATTTTGAAAAACCCTAACTTAACTCTGGTGCCATGTCACATACAGAAATTTTTTTATATTTGCAACCATAGTAAAACAAATATTTATATTTTTGATATTTATTTTATATATTTAAATGCCATTTAACAAAGAAAAATCAACCAAAAAAATGAGTTCGCGTGTCACCTCTGACACGCGTGTCATAGGTTCGCCATCACTGTCCTAGACCCATTAAGAAGAAATAAAACAAAGCCAAGATATAAAGAGAAAGAAAAACAATCTGAACTTTCCAGTAAAAACATTTTATAAATTTTAATGATGTTTCCTCTGTTTTTATTTTTTGTTTTAATAAGGAACACAGTCCATTTAGCTACAATCACTGGTACTTTAAGCAGCTGTTTGCAGCAAAAGGTACCAGAGTAGTCTCCAGCACACCAGTGACTGGGTGAGGAACTGGGCGGAGGTGGCATGACTTGGCTTTGCTCGATGAAGTGGAAAATTACCTCCTTTATCTCTGGGGTGGTCTGTGGAGGAAGAGAGCCGAGACTGGGGTTTGAGCTCTTGCAGGGGAGAGGCTGGTATGGCTCTCTCTTCCAGCCTCTGATTCGATTAGAGCAGTGGTTCTCAACCTTCCTAATGCCGCGACCCTTTAATGGGGGTCTTCATGTTGTGGTGACCCCCAACCATAAAATTATTTTCGTTGCTACTTCATAACTGTAATTTTGCTACTGTTATGAGTCGTAATGTAAGTATGTGATATGCAGGATGTATTTTCATTGTTACAAATCGAACATAATGAAAGCATAGTGATTAATCACAAAACAATATGTAATTATTTATGTGTTTTCCGATGGTCTTAGGCGACTTCTGTGAAAGGGTTATTCAACCCCCAAAGGGTCGCAACCCACAAGTTGAGAACCACTGGATTAGATGGACACTTTACCAACACGACAAAGGAAGGGGGATTTAAGAGAGGCAGAGGGAACAGCAGAGACTTTCTTCGCTGATCTAAATGTTCAAAGATAAAGTCTTCCCACTGGTTAAGCCTGGTTAACAATCAGTTTTCCCTCGAGCAAGTAAAACAGGGAGAAATCATCTGGGGGCTGAGACAGCCCTAGGGCTCTGATGTCCAGGCCAAGTCTCATTGCTGGCTCCAAGCACAGGGCGTCCACACCAAGACATTTTGTTCCCAGGACTAACATAAAGAACCATTTTTAATGTCTTACTTATAAGACTAAAATCTGGTTTACAGCAAACTTATAAATGAAAGGTGAAGGGCCCTAGCTAGTTTGGTTAAGTGGATAGAGTGTCGGCCTGCAGATTGAAGGGTCCCAGGTTTGACTGTGGTCAAGGGCACATGCCCAGGTTGTGGGCTCGATCCCCAGTAGGGGACGTGCAAGAGGCAGCCAATCAATGATTCTCTCTCATCATTGATGTTTCTATCTCTCTATCCTTCTCCTTTCCTCTCTGAAATCAATAAAAACATATTTTTAAAATAAATTTAAAAAATAAATGAAAGGTGAAGGAAAATGGGATAGGGACCCAAACTTATTTCAAAGTTCTTAACCTTTTGGGGATGCCAATATTGTGCCGATTTTAGAAGCAGTTTTGGGAGATTACTAGATCCCACCCCAGGTGGGTCCTGAAATCCCCTAAGAGACTTTGACCTCTCACTTACAGAGCTCTGCCATGCTCATTTATTTCTTTTACAAAACTACCAAGCAGGCTTCACCTGTTGTTCACCTGCCACAGCCAACTGTTTAGGTTTATTTCTGTTTTTACATTAAAAAAATGACATAAGCCTCTGGTTTAAGATCTTTCACTCCAGATGAAAGACTCCAGGTACTCACAAACTGCTGATTCATTTCCCACAAGAAATATAAGAAGAGAAACATTACAAGACATAAACCTATAGTCAAAGCTGCCTTCCCTAGTGAATCTAACAAGAGAGTAACATCCAGTAGTTAAGAACGAGTAACTGCCCCAGCACAGTACTGCGCTGCCAACAACACGCAAATGGCTAAACAGCCACGTGTTACCTCACTAGCTCCGTGTGCAGCTCCGGTGAAGTCAGGTAAGCAGGGGTGCCAGCCGGGCTCTCGGGTGGCCCTTCACTGCCCTCTGCTGGAACACGGAGGGCCTTGCTCGCTGCGTGGTGGAAATCAGCTACCTCGGTCAGGCGCCTCTTCATTTCTTTCAACAGATTAGTATGTGCAGGGCTTTGGAAAAATCTTCTTCCAATACAACCATCTATGGGTAGCCTTAAGAAATACAAGCATGGATCACAACAAGATCAATACACGATGTACCTCCTATGTGACCACAAAATCACAATAATAAGTCAATTTACTGTAGCTGTATATATACTGCGTTAAATTAATACATACTAGTTCTACCATAACAGTTATTATGAGGCTCCAACAAAATGGTATATATGAAAAGTTTTTTTAAAAATGACATGCTATGCAAATTCAAGATATTATCACCACTTAGACTGGTACGGAAGAGATTAAAAATAGTCTCTCCTTGCCCTAGCTGGTTTGGCTCAGTGGACAGAGCATCAGCCTGCGAACTGAAGGGTTCCAGGTTCGATTCTGGTCAATGGCATATGCCCTGGTTACGGGCTCGACCCCCAGTGGGGGGGGGGGGGCGCATGCAGGAGGCAGCCAATCAATGATTCTCTTTCATTGATGTTTCTATCTCTCTCTTCCTCTCCCTTCCTCTCTGAAATCAATAAAAATATATATATTTTAAAAATAGTCTCTGCTCTTGAAGAACTTGCAATCTGGTAGAAAACAGACATTTCAAAGAATTAACATTTATGTTTCGAGGGAGTGAGTTAAGGTAGTGAAAGATGAGCTAGGAATTGAATTGGAGCTAAAGATCAATGGTCAGTAACAGTGGGCAGTTTCCAGCTGGTCAGTCCCTTCATATCCAGTGGCAATGTTGGACGCCCCCAGGCCCAGCCCAAAGGCTGCCAGACACAGCTTGGCCTTTGTCCACACCTGCTTGATTCATCACAGATCTCCTCCAACGAGCCCCATGACAGTCACAAGCAGCCTATTTGGGGCAATTTCTCTCCCTTTGCATTTCCAGAGGTTCCAGGGTGCTGTCTTCCCCATGTTGGGTATGGGAGATGGTAAAGAGAGAGCTGCCACAAGATACCCTGAACAGTTGTGAAGCAGGAAGGGAGGGAGACTCCTAGCTGAGATTCTAACTCACCCGCCTCAGTGTGAGAACTCAGCGCAGCAGAACAGTGCTAAGGTGGGAAGGATTCACAGAAACAGACGACGGTGCTGGCTACCTACCCGTATTGCGGTCCTGGGCGGTGCAGGTACAGCAGGAAGAACTTCTGCCAGATGAGCGGCAGAAGAGGGTGATCAGATGGAGTGACCAGAGCCTGGTGGGCCCAGCGATAGACCAGCAGCCTCTGCAGCGACGGGACGAGGGGGAGCTTCAGCTGGGCCTGCGCTTTCTACAGAAGAGGCGGAGCTATGAGCAGCCATGAAATGAACACAAGTGCAAAGTTTGCTCTTTCTAAATGATCCAGAACTTACTTCTCCAACCCACTAGCTAACACTTTAACCTCCTTGTTATCAGGAGATAAGGGGTAGCTTTTCTTCTGTCAAAACATTTCACAGACCCTAGAATTGAAAAGGGTCTCAACTGTCACCCTAACCTCATGTCCATGCCTTGACACGCCTTTATGTCTTTGCATATAAAACACTACAGTGCAAGAAAGTAGGAGATGGCCCTGGCAGGTTTGGCTCAGTGGACAGAGCGCCGGCCTATGGACTGAAGGGTCCCGGGTTCGAGTCTGGTCAAGGGCACATGCCTGGTTGTGGTCTCTATCCCCAGCGGGGAGGGGGGGGGCGGATTGTGTAGGAGGCAGGCTGATCAATGATTCTCTCTCATCACTGATGTTTCTCTCTCCCTCCCTCTCCCTTCTTATCTGCAATAAAAATATATTTTTAAATCCTATATAATAAAACCCTAACATGCAAATTGACCAAACTGCGGAACAACCCGTCGCTATGATGTGCACTGACCACCAGGGGGCAGATGCTCAATGCAGGAGCTTCCCCTTGGTGGTCAGTGCACTCCCACAGGGGAAGCGCCACTCGTCCAGAAGCAGGCTCACAGCTGGCGAGTGCAGCAGCGGTGGTGGAGCCTCTCCCACCTCTGCTACAGGCAGGTGGTAAGGAATGAGGGTCCCAGACTGCGAGAGGGCGCAAGCTGGACTGAGGGACCCCTCCCCCCCGAGTGCACGAATGTCGTGCACCAGGCCTCTAGTGAATAATAATAAATAAAAATAAAACACCAAACGTTTATTAAAAAAAAAAAAGTAGATGAAAACCAAAAGTAAAGTTTACTGTCAAACTTTATCAATCTCTTGAAAATTAGATTTTTAAAAGGGCTTTCAAGAGTGATAAATTGTTTGATAGGCTCTAAAACTCCAAAGCAAAATCAATAGTCCAAGCATGTCAAACTTTCAGCTGGCATTTAAATGAGGCATGCGGCCTGCTGGCCACAAGTCTGACACGCCTGGGGACCCTAAAAGAGAAGGCACTTAGTTAGTTCTAAAGCTTTGTTCCAGTCTTTCTCATACTTTAGTGAGCCTGAGGATCAGCTAGGGAGTTTTTAAAAATAAATTCCTGGTCCTACTCCAAACTCAGAATTTCAGAAGTTGGGAGTCCAAGAATCTCCAGGAGATTCTGATGCACATGGGACACACTGGAAATTGCTTTAAAACACTGGTGATCTCCTTCACATGCAATGAGCACGGCCTTCAATAATCAGTGTGACTCTCAATGTGCAATGCACCCTGGAAAAGACGCACACACTTCAAGTATAACATTTTCTACATTGGTCTAGTTATGTGCTTTCCAAACATTCACAACAAACGAAAACATAGGTGTTCAAAAGCTACAGGTGAATCCATCAGCATCAAAGCATAAACCACCTCTCCCACTCAAATGCAGAACTGGTATTTGCACCTTCAAAGCTTGGTCAGGAGTGAAAGAAGGGTTTATAACCAGTTCCCCTTCAACAACTCTTCTGAGCTGAGAATCTTCTTCAAAGATGGACTCCATGTTCAGGACGGTCCATGCAAACCACACCTACGATGACAACAGGTAACAACAGAGCAATCAGCAGCTCACTTGGCAAACAAAATACATCCTGATAATCCACAAACTATCTTTTCTATCATAGATCTCAATCAACAAATATTTAGGGTTTCTAAAATTAACAGTTTTCATACCTATCTATACTCTTATCACAGATATAAATTCAGATAAAACAGTTCACTTAAAAATGTCAGGATGTTTGTTTGCTCAAAAATATTTAGCAGGCAGTTTCTATATGCATGGAAGACAGGAAAGAGAGGTAGACACAAGCTCTGCTCTTAAGAAATTTTCCATCTAGCCCAGCCGCTGTGGCTCAGTGATTGAGCATAGACCCATGAACAAGGAGGTCACAGTTCGATTCCTGGTCAGGGCACATGCCCAGGTTGCAGACTCCATCCCCGATAAGGGGTGTGCAGGAGGCAGTTGATTGACTGATGATTCTTTCTCATCATTGGTGTTTCTATCTCTTTCTCCCTCTCCCTTCCTCTCTCTGAAATCAATGAAAATATTTTTTTAAAGAAGTTTTCCTTCTAACAGGAGACAAGACTAATATGTAAGTAACCAAATGCGGAAGTGAGTAGCGGTGACTACTGAGTCAGGAATACTGTGCTATGGGAAGCCAGAGGAAGGAGGGCATGTTCAGAGGAGGCTCTACGTAGAGACTGGAGGAAAAGGCTTGCCTAGTGAAACAATCAGTTAGGCCAGTGGTCGGCAAACTCATTGGTCAACAGAGCCAAATATCAACAGTACAACGACTGAAATTTCTTTTGAGAGCCAAATTTTTAAAACTTAAACTATATAGGTAGGTACATTGTTATTAACTTAATTAGGGTACTCATAAGACTTAGGAAGAGCCACACTCAAGGGGCCAAAGAGCTGCATGTGGCTCGCAAGCTGCAGTTTGCCGACCACGGAGCTAGGCTAAGGCAAAGACGTGAGCAGGTAACAGCAAGGAGTTGGCTTCAGCTAGATCTCAAGAAGTATAAGCAGGAGGTAAGACTGATAGGAGGTGAAGGATGTTACTACTGGCTTAAGTGATGAAACAGGCGTAATTCAACACGAAGTCTAAGAGGTGGTAATAATGATGAAAATAATGTGCTGGTGATAATGATGACAGCAATAATAACAGCAAACACCTATTCATGCTAAGCACTGTTCTAATGCTTTGCATGTTGGTGCAATCATTACTTCCTTTTGACAGTTGAGGAAACTGAGGACAGAGAGGTAAGCAAGCTGCCCACGGCACAGCACCAGCAAATGGCAGCATCCTCTGGCTCCAGTGTCCACTCTTAACCACTCTGCCATGCGGCTGGCCAGGCTGTGCAGTCAGGCAGACCGGTCTGGTCTCGAGCTGTCTGAACCTGAGCCAGCCACGAATGCCATCAAACCTCAGTTAACCCCTCTATGAAACAGAAACAGCAACAGTGAAACTCAGCAGAGGCTACTGTGAGGATGAGAGGAAGACGTACTCTCCTAGTGAGTGCTACGTCAATGCTAGTTATGGTAGGCTAGTAATAATGTACCAGCAAGGATGATAACGATATTAAAGTTCACTGAGGTAACAAATGCTCCCGAGGGTTTCCTACCTGAGTGGGCGTGGCCAAGCCCTCCACGAAGGAAGGAGTGATGTTGCCAGCCACGATCCAGCTCACCAAGGAAGAGAGCAGACTCCGGTCACAGTGGTAACCCAAAGCATTCTACACCGGGGAGAGGATTGGAGCAGAGAGAAAAGGCTTTAAAAAAAAAACTTATCAATGACCTTTTCAGGAATATCAGCAATTATTTTACTATAATGTAAGATTCTGGCAAGACACGGATTTCAATAATTCATTAGTCCAGCAGCAATCAAAGACCCAGGCAGTGTATTACAGCCAAATGTAATGGGA